AATGGGAGTCTCAGAGAAGAGAAATAGAAAGGGACAGAATGAATACTTTAAGAAATGATGGTTGACAACTCCCCAAATTCAGTGAAAAACATTTATTTATATATTAAAAAAGATCAATAAACTCCAAGCAGGATAAACACAGAGATACACATCTAGACAGATCACAGTTAAAATTGTTGAAAATCCAAGACAGAGAAAAATCTCAAAAGCACTAAGAGAAAAATGACTCATCACCCACTAGGGAAACTAGTAACATTAACAGGTGACTTCTCATCAGAAACAACAGAGGCCAGAAAGCAGTAAGATGACATAGTCAAAGTACTGGCTGGAGAAAATCCTAACAACCAAGAATTCAGTATCTACCAAAAAAACACTTTTCCAAAGTGAAGGTAAATAAAGGGAAATAATGACATTCCCAGATAAATGAAGATTCTGAGAATCTGTATAAAGAGCATTGGTAATTATGCAGATAATTACAGAAGAGTACATTATGTATTTTTCTCTTAACCAATTTAAAGGATAACTATATAAAATAATTATAAGATTGTACTACTGGGTTTTGTTTGTAACATACAAAGATTAATATATATGACAACACAAAACAGGAAAGGAATGGAATAATATGAGCTAAAAAAAAATGACACCAAACAAAAAAGAGATACAAAAAAATACAAAAAGAAGGCCGGGTGCGGTGGCTCAAGCCTGTAATCCCAGCACTTTGGGAGGCCAAGGCGGGTGGATCACGAGGTCAGGAGATCGAGACTATCCTGGCTAACATGGTAAAAATACAAAAAAACTAGCCGGGCGTGGTGGCGGGCACCTGTAGTCCCAGCTACTTGGGAGGCTGAGGCAGGAGAATGGCGTGAACCTGGGAGGCGGAGCTTGCAGTGAGCCGAGATCAGGCCACTGCACTCCAGCCTGGGAGACACAGCGAGACTCCGCAGTATCTACCAAAAAAACACTTTTCCAAAGTGAAGGTAAATAAAGGGAAATAATGACATTCCCAGATAAATGAAGATTCTGAGAATCTGTATAAAGAGCATTGGTAATTATGCAGATAATTACAGAAGAGTACATTATGTATTTTTCTCTTAACCAATTTAAAGGATAACTATATAAAATAATTATAAGATTGTACTACTGGGTTTTGTTTGTAACATACAAAGATTAATATATATGACAACACAAAACAGGAAAGGAATGGAATAATATGAGCTAAAAAAAAATGACACCAAACAAAAAAGAGATACAAAAAAATACAAAAAGAAGGCCGGGTGCGGTGGCTCAAGCCTGTAATCCCAGCACTTTGGGAGGCCAAGGCGGGTGGATCACGTCAAGGCGGGTGGATCACGAGGTCAGGAGATCGAGACCATCCTGGCTAACATGGTGAAACCCCGTCTCTATTACCTTTCTTCTCCTCACTTCTTTAAAAGAGGTAACACTGTATAAAGCAATAGTTGTAACACTGCACTGCTGAGATTACAACATAGACATAATATGTGAGACAATAACAGCACAAAGGGAAGAGCAAATGAAGCCATATTAACGGAACAAAGCTTCTATATTTTAATGGAATTCAACTAGTTTTTTGTTTTGTTTTTGTTTTTTTTCTTTTTTTTTTTTTGGAGACAGAGTCTTGCTCTGTCAACCAGGCTGGAGGAGTGCAGTGGCAAGATCTTGGCTCACTGCAAGTTCTGCCTCCCGGGTTCATGCCATCCTCCCGCCTCAGCCTCCCGACCAGCTGGGACTACAGGCGCCTGCCACCATGCCCAGCTAATTTTTTTGGTACTTTTAGTAAAGATGGGGTTTCACCGTGTTAGCCAGGATGGTCTTGATCTCCTGACCTCATGATCCGCCCACCTCAGCCTCCCAAAGTGCTGGGATTACAGATGTGGGCCACCACGCCCTGCCTCAACTAGTATTTATATAAAGTAGATTGTGATAAATTAAAATGCATACTGTAATCCCTAGATCAATCATTAAAAAAAATAACAAATAGCACAAAAAAGCCAGAAGACTCAATGAAAGAATTTAAATAGTACACTAGAAAATAATCTATTTTGACTAGGCACAGTGGCTCATATCTGTAATCCCAGCACTTTGGGAGGCAGAGGCAAGAAGATTGCTTGGAGCCAGGAGTTCGAGAATAGCCCTGGCAATATTGTGAGACCCTATCCCTACAAAAGGGTAAAAAAAATTAGCTGACTCTGCTAGGCCCGGTGGCTCACGCCTGCAATCGCAGCACTTTGGGAGGCCAAGGCAGGTGGATCCCCTGAGGCCGGGAGTTCGAGACAAGCCTAAACAACATGGCAAAACCCCATCTCTACTAAAAAAAAAAAAAAAAATACAAAAATTAGGCCAGGCGTGGTGGTTCACGCCTGTAATCCTAGCACTTTGGGAGGCTGAGGCAGGCCGGATCATGAGGTCAGGAGTTCGAGACCAGCCTGGCCAACATGACGAAACCCCGTCTCTACTAAAAATACAAAAATTAGCTGTGCATAGTGGCATGCTCCTGTAATCCCAGCTACTCAGGAGGCTAAGGCAGGAGAATTGCTTGAACCCAGGAGACAGAGGTTGCAGTGAGCAGAGATCGCGTCACTGCACTCCAGCCTGGGCAACAGAGCAAGACTCCATCTCAAAAGAACAAACAAGCAAAAAAAATTAGCAGGGCGTGGTGGCGGGCGCTTGTAATCCCAGCTACTTGGGAGGCTAAGGCAGGAGAATCGCTTGAACCTGGGAGGTGGAAGTTGCAGTGAGTCAAGATCGTGCCACTGCACTCCAGCCTGGCAACAAGAGCAAAACTTCGTCTCAAAAACCAAACAAAACAGGCCGGGCATGGTGGCTCATGCCTGCAATCCCAGCACTTTGGGAGGCTGACGTGGGCAGATCATAAGGTCAGGAGTTCAACACCAGCCTGGCCAAGATGGTGAAAAACCCTGTCACCACTAAAAATATAAAAAATTAGCTGGGCGTGGTGGCGGGTACCTGTAATCCCAGCTACTCGGGAGGTTGAGGCAGAGAACTGCCTGAATCCAGGAGGCGGAAGTTGCAGTGAGCCAAGATCGTGCCATTGCACTCCAGCCTGGGTGACAGAGCAAGACTCCATCTCAAAAACAAAACAAAGCTGGGCGCGGTGGCTGACACCTGTAATCCCAGCACTTTAGGAGGCTGAGACGGGTGGATCACGAGGTCAGGAGATCCAGACCATCCTGGCTAACACGGTGAAACCCCGTCTCTACTAAAAATACAAAACAATTAGCCAGGCCTGTAGTCCCAGCTACTCGGGAGGCTGAGGCAGGAGAATGGCGTGAACCCGGGAGGCAGAGCTTGCAGTGAGCTGAGATAGCGCCACTGCACTCCAGCCTGGGCGACTGAGTGAGACACCGTCTCAAAACAAATAAATTAATTAATTAAATAAACAAAACAAAAAATTAGCCGACTGTGGTGATGCAGGCTTGTAGTCCCAGCTATTAAGGAAGCTGAGGTGGGAGAATCACTTGCCCCCAGGAGTTCAACGTTGCAGTGAGCTACGATCACACCACTGCATTCCCGGTCCAGCCTGGGTAATACAGTGAGGCCTTTTCTCAAATAAAGGGGGGAAAAAAAGAAAATAATCTATTTAATAAATATTGCTGGGCATGGTGGCTCACATCTGTAATCTCAGCATTTTGGCAGGCCAAGGTGGGTAGATCGCTTGAGCCCAGGAGTTTGAGACCAGCCTGGGCAACATAACGAAACCCTGTCTCTACAAAAAAATACAAAAATTAGCCAGGGGTGGTGTTGTACACCTGTAGTCCCAGGTACTGGGGAGGCTGAGGTTGGAGGATCACCTGAGCCTGGGGAAGTCAAGGCTGCAGTGAGCCATGATCATACCACTGCACTCCAGCCTGAGTGACAGAGTAAAATCCTGTCTCAAAAAAAAATTTTTTTAATTAAATAAATAAATACCAACCACAGGCTGACAACTCCCCAATCTGCCCCCAGTCTACCCTTTTCTGAAATTCAAGTGCACTTCTGACATTGACACTTAGACATCCAATGGTTATCTTAAATGTAACATATCCAACAGAAACTCATCTTGTCCCCATAACCTGCTCTATCCATACAGTCTTTCCCATCACTGTAACTGACAACATCCTTTCAGCTGCTCAGGCCAGAAACTTTGGAGTCATCCTTGAGTCTTCCCTCTCACACCCTCAGATTCAATCCATCAGTGAATGCTGTTGCCTCTACCTCCAGAAAGACTTCTTACCACCTCCACTGCTATTATCCTAGTCAAAGCTACACTCATCTCTCACCTGGGTAACGACAAGAGTCTCCCGATTAGTCTCCCAGCTTCTGCTCTTCCCCTTATATGCACACAGTCTATTCTCAAGCAGCAGCCAGCTTGATCCTTTTTAAAAACATTAGTCAGATCACTTTTCCTCCACTCAAAACTCTCTAATGGCTCCCATCACACTTTGTGGAAAAGCCCAAGTCTTCAACTGGCTTTCTAGTTGTTTCTCAAGCTTACAGGCATGTGCCCAGCCCTAAGCATTTGTATTGGCTGTTCACTCTGCTTAAAAAGCTCTTCCCACAGATATCCTATGGCTCACTCTCATTTCAAGTCAAGTCTCTGTTCAAATGTCACTTTCTCAATAAGGTCTTCACTGACTATCTTATTTAAAATTTCAATCCCCACCCCCACCCCACCCCCACTTCTTTATTCCCACAATACTTAGCAACTTCTAATATAATATGTAACTATGGTTTTTAATTTGTTTCTTGTCTCTCTCTACCACTAGAATATATGCTACATGAGGAGAGAGATTTTATTACTCTATCTCCCATACCTAGAACATAGTAATAAGCACTCAATAAATATTTACGAAACTAGTGAAGAAAATAAAAAGAAAAGTGAAACTGATTTCAATTTTCTTCTGAAATCTCTATTTTTAAAATCTTTCAGCACATATAACAATAAAGTTAGAAAGCATGCAAAAGTTGAAACTATTTCTTACCAAAGTCCATTCTATCTTTTTGGTTTCTCTGAAGCAAACCCAAAAGGAGATTAGCCAAATAAGGTGATGTTTCTCTGGGAATACTGGGGGAAAGGAAAAACACAACCACCTAAGTGATAAGTTTATATATATAAACAACATTAATTTTTGCCTTCCATATAGTAAACTAAAACATATATGTGGTTTCACAAATACCAATACATTTATACCAAGAAGACCATGTAAGAGTCATCTAAAGAAGGAAAAAAAAGCACTAAACTGCCTTTGAGAAACAGCATCAAATTGAGAAGATTCCTGTACTGTGTTTGTTGTTATTTGAGTATCTGCAGGAGTAAGGCACCTCACAAGCCCAATGTTGAGTTTTACCATAACTTCAATCTTGCACTAATAGTTGCTATAATGTTCTGTATTACAAAATAGCCACCTCCATTTCCGTCTGGAAAAGGGCAGCACTTAAACACAAATGAGAACTAATACAACTTCCTAACATCCAATATGAAAACAACAAGCAATAGGAAAATGAGTGAAGTAATAGAAGTACACAATTCAAAGAATAAGAATTACAAAAATATATTAAACAGGCTGGGCACGGTATCTTACGCCTGTAATCCCAGCACTTTGAGAGGCCAAGGCGGGTGGATCACTTGAGGTCAGGAGTTCAAGACCAGCCTGAACAACATAGTGAAATCCTGTCTCCACTAAAAATACAAAAATTAGCCGGGCGTGGTAGCCTGCCTGTAGTCCCAGCTACCTGGGAGGCTGAGGCAGGAAAATGGCTTGAAACCGGGAGGTGGACGCTGCAGTGAGCCAAGATCATGCCATTGCACTCCAGCCTGGCAATAGAACAAGACTCTATCTCAAAAAAAAAAAAAAAGAAAGAAAAAGAAAAAGATATTAAACAAATACAAAGGAGCCAAACTCACTAATGAAGAGAACGATCCAAATTAAATTAATAGCTAACTGGTCCTCATGCATTTGTGCAGCATCAAATCCGCTAACATTCTGTGTTGGTAAAAATGAGGGAAAAGGGGCAGTCTTCTATCTTGCTGTATTCACTGGGATAGCCTATTTGGAAAGTGTATCTTTTGGTCTCACAATTCCATTTCTAGAAGTCCAAACTACCAAAATGCACACATACACAAAGGTGTACACACACACACACACACACACACACTTCACTAGAGCCTGTTTGTAGTGACCAAAAAATGAAAACAGGGATCTGATTAAATAAAGTAATGTACATCTATGGGACTCTCTGTGGCATTTAAAAGCATACAGTGGCAGGTGCAGTTGTGCCCTGGGTCACTAAGATGTCATTCCCAAAGTATACTCCATCGCACCTGGCCACTCTGCCCCCAACCCTCGACCCAGCCAAATACGACATATCTCCAGAAACCCGACGGGCGCAAGTCGAGCCGTTGGCCATAAGAGTTCGGCTGAAACAAGAGTACCTGCTTCAGTACAACCACCCCAACTGCAGAGGGCTCATCAAAGATCCTGCCTTGATTCGTTGGACCTATGCAAGATCAGCAAATGTCTATCCTAATTTCAGACCCACTCCTAAAAACTCACTCTTGGGAGCTCTGTGTGGACTTGGACCCCTCTTCTTCTGCTATTATGTTTTCAAAACTGACAGGGATAGGAAAGAAAAGCTTATCCGGGAAGGAAAATTGGGTCAGACATTTAATCTCTCATGTTAAGTCTGTCGATGACTATATGTACTCCTGCCTAAATAGCCTATTAATCATCTAAAAAAAAAAAAAGCATACAGTTGGCCAGGTATGGTGGCTCACACCTATAATCCCAGCACTTTAGGAGGCCAAGGTGGGAGGATCACTTGAGGTCAGGAGTTCAAGACCAGCCTGGCCAACATGGTGAAACCCCGTCTCTAATAATAAAAAAAAAATACAAAAATTAGCCGGGTGTGGTGGCGGGCACCTACAGTCCCAGCTACTAGGGAGGCTGAGGCAGGAGAATTGCTTGAACTAGGGAGGCAGAGGTTGCAGTGAGCCTAGATCGTGCCACTGCACTCCAGCCTGGGAGACAGAGCAAGATTCTGTCTCAAAATAAAAAAGCATACAGTGGCTTTCCACATCCTGTTGAGGAACATCATCTGTGATGTACTACAAAGTAAAAAACAAAAGGACACTGCAAACAACTCACAAAATATGATGTAATTTGTCTTAAACTATGTGTGTGTATAAATACATACATAAACAAGCACTCATCTCAAGATACAAGTTCAAGAGAAAACAAAAGGAAAACAAGCACTCAAACATGTATAAAGAACTCCCACAAAAACTATGTAGAAAGAGATACAGCAAACTCTCGTTACCCCTAAAGAAGAGAGCAAAGCTGTGGGGAATTCACTTTCTACTTTCCGTGTATCTATTCTGTCCACATTACCCTTCCCACAAGGAACACATGTAACTTCCGTATCTTTTTCTTTCAAATTTACATTTACATTTTAGAAGAGAAAGAAAAGAGTACAGTACTACACAGACACCTATGATGTACCAGCAATTTTCCAATTTGCTATAACAAATGCTTTCACATTATCAACTGAAAAAGAATTCAAAAATGAGAATACATAAAACACAAACAGTTCAAATAAACAACACTGTGTTCACAAATAGTAAAACCCAGTGTAATCTAAACACATACCTAGGCATTAAGCTCCTGTTTTTTTCATAAAACATCCTTAAGTCTTGAGGACTATTGGCCTATTGAAAAAAAAAAGGTTTAATTTCCTAAACAATGGGGGCAAAACTTCCAAATCATATGATTGACGCTCATATTCTTTTTTTTAACGGATTGAGGGAGTGGGAGTTTCAAGGAAGGGATTCAGAGGAAAGGAGGGAAAGTATGAGGGAGGAGGAAAGGAAAGAGAGATGATGCTCATATTCTTGCTACAGAACATAGATTCTCAACTTGAAAGCCATGGATTGCTGAAGGAGCCATAACTGGTCATTAGAAAGTCATAAAACCTATGACATTGTGTGAAAATTCTGTACATCTGAGTATAATGTACCTTTTCTGAGGTAGCTTTTCTGAGGTCAGACTCTCAGAGGAGCCTGAAACTTAGAATAGATTAAGGGTCACTATTCTGAAGGTTACATGGCCTGCCCAATAAGTACGTTATTGTTGGGTAAAATTCAGGTGTACTTTACCTTAGGACCCTAAAGGAATTCAAAGAAAAGAACTATGTATGCTGCTACTATGCAGTCTCTCCACAGCAACAAGTAGCTGATAACAACAACTGCTTAAATGTAGAAGCCTCCTCTACAATGCAAACTAGACTAAGAAATTAAAAGTGTTTAACCTGGCTGTGTCACTAATTTTCTTAATACTATCTTAGGCAAATATTTTCATTTTGTTCCAGTTTTCAAATTCAAAGATCTTCTTTATGACATAAGAAATTATAACATGACAATATGAACTCAAGAGAAATCATCGTGATTATACTCTACAGGGTCACTTTTTGACAGGATGTTGGGGGAGAGGAGAAGACAGACCGATACTAATTTCCATAAAGCGTATATAATTACCTCCCTCTCACCTAGCAGTGTCAGGAATAGAGAGCTAGAGATGGTTTCCAGAGATCTCCCCAGACAGCCCCAGCCCTCATGTGGATTCCAGGATCTCAAAACCAGGCTAACCAGGAAGCTGTGGTGTCACCATTCACACCCATTTCCCATCAGGCTGTTAGCCCTGATCCCAACATACAACAGACTGCATGCCCAGTTCAACTACAAAGGGCAAGCAGATAAAAGGGGAAAAACAAAAGATGTTCTGACTCACTAAAGCAGTTTTTGCCTATAAAAGAATCAAAGTAAGTCACAGAGGAGCCAAAAACACTGCTTTCAAAGTATTCTTCATTTTACAAATCAAACGCAACTATAAAATGACAAGATTCCAAAACTGAGGACATAAGAAAAAAGTCAGCCTACCTGAAAAGGTGGTTTTCCAACTAGGCATTGGTATATCACTGTTCCTATGCTCCACAAGTCAGCCTTAGCATCATAATGTTGAGACATAATAACCTCAGGAGCCTGGGGACAGAGAAATTTAAGGGGCATGCAGTATTTACATAATTAATATGCACATATTAATTAACTGGTAAAGGTGACACTCCTAACAAACTACCAGAATAAAACAACACCCTGTGATAGTTCTCTAATCAAATAAAAAGGCAATGAACTTACAACATATTATCATATATTGAGATTTACTAGTAAATCTCAAAATCAATGTTGCATGAAAAGGGGCAAGTTATAGAAACAAATGTTTCAACTGATTATAATGGACACATAAAGTACAATGAGAGGACCAAAATAATAACAAAGAAAACATACACACCATAGGACATGGTGTATAAAATACATACCATAGGACAGAGGTTCCCTCAGGTGTGTGAAAGGAGCAGAGGAGGAAATGGAATCAGGGAGAAGTACAAAAGGAACCTGGGCTGTCTCCAACATACATACATAAATATATATATATATATATATATATTTTTTTTTTTTTTGAGAACAAGTCTCCCTGTGTCACCCAGGCTGGAGCGCAGCGGCACGATCTCGGCTCACTGCAACCTCCACCTCCTGGGTTCAAGCGATTTTCCTGCCTCAGCCTCCCGAGTAGCTGGGATTACATGCGCCTGTCACCACACCCAGCTAATTTTTTGTATTTTTAGTAGAGACGGGGTTTCACCATGTTGGCCAGGCTCGTCTCGAACTCCTGACCTTATGATCCTCCCACCTCGGCCTCCCAAAGTGCTGGGATTACAGGCATGAGCCACCATGCCCAGCCTATTTTATTTCTTTCAAAAACAAGATCAAGACAAACATGGCAAAATGCTAACTTTGTGAAATATGGATGGTGGGTACATAGGTGTTTGCTATATTATTCCCTATGTTTTTTGTAATCTGAACACTTCTACAGTAATAAAAACTATGATGCAAAACCCCACACAATAATAAAAATTGTCCTAAAAGCAAAACCATTTATCTGCTGCTTTGTTTCAGGTATTTTCCCACCTCTCATCAAATTTTGCTTTTTAAATATACCATTAATCAGGACAAATACTAAACAGAAATGGAAAATATACTTAAAGATAGTTTTATTTCCCACATGTAACATTTCTTTTTAACTTTAATTCTTTTTGGAAATGGGGTCTTGCTGTGTTCACAGGCTGGCCATGAACTCCTGGGCTTCAGAAGTCCTCCTGCCTCAGTCTCCCAAGTGGTTGGGACCAAAGGCATGCATCACTACATCCAGCTCAGACATAACATTTTTATTTATTTTCCCTAGTAAATTTCTTATTAAGTCAATTTCCTTTAATAATCAGCCAAAACACTCTAACCTCAAGGCTAAACTAATTTTATACTCAAGAAGTACAAAGTAATTTTAAAATTTATATTTTTTATAAATTTAAAATATATAAAATTTATTATATATAAGCAGTAAAATTATGATTGACAGTAAATCTGATAAAATGTTTTTTGAAATTTGATTAATAGTTCAAAGTTGATTTTAGTTTAGAGAAATTCTGAATTTAATATAAACCCATTTTAAACTTAGAACTGAAATAGGTACACTTCACATAATTCTGAAGCTCTAGAATTAAGGTATTTCCAGACTTAACACTGCACATTAGTTTAGAAGTTTCATAACCTAACCCTATAATACATGATGATATCTATATGAGAGGATAAAGGGGAAAGCTGAGGTATTTCAGCTTTGAGTGTGAGGCTAACAGAAAAAACATCTACAATATAGGGATCCTGTCAAGAGAGTTAACATGCAAAAGATGAGCACATCCTACAGCTGAAGAAGTGCTCCCATAAGGTGTTTTTTAAGCATTCCTACTTTTATAGTTCACTATGCTAAGGCAAAAGATTTCTGTATTATAGCATTATCAGTAATATAATTAACATTAGTAATAACAACTTGTAATTCACAAGATTACAAGCCTCCCGAGTAGCTGGGATTACATGCGCCTGATTTTACAAGATGTAAAATCACATCTTATTTGGAAGCAAGCATTATATTTAAATTCCAATGCTTATGGAGCCACAATTTAAACACACAAGGATGCAAACACTCACTCACCATGTACATCGGGGATCCACACAGTGTTGCAGCCATCATGTTACTATGTAGGTAACGAGCAAAACCAAAATCCGCTATTTCACAAAATAGAAAGTAGAAAATCAAATTATATCTTCGCTCATACCTAACATACATCATATGATTCTTCAAGACACAAGAAGGCACAAAGGACTGTGAAAAATAAACAGCTTACTGAATATCACTGTCCACCAAAGAAAAAACTAGCTACCTCAATTTCAACAAGCTAAAAATAGTAGTAATCATCAACTGTACAAGTCACTCCTCTGCCAGATTTGTAACCAAGGTGCATGAAACTTTGCAAGTGAAAATACTAATTATAGTAAGTAGCTCATTAATACAGTTTTCATTAAATATCAATACCAGATACAGAATGTAAATAATTATGTTTTTATTGTTTCAAATAATTTTGAGGTACTGCTAAAAAAAAAAACTGCCAAGGGCTAAACTAGATGGTCTCTGAGATCCCTATGTCAAAAGCCTAGGAACTGTAAAGAATCAGGGTTATGGCTGGGCGTGGCGGCTCATGCCCATAATCCCAGCACTTTGGGAGGCCAAGGTAGGCAGATCACTTGAGGTCAGGAGTTTGAGACCAGCCTGGCCAACATGGTGAAACCCTGTCTCTACTAAAAAAATATATACAGGCCGGGCACGGTGGCTCAAGCCTGTAATCCCAGCACTTTGGGAGGCCCAGACGGGAGGATCACGAGGTCAGGAGATCGAGACCATCCTGGCTAACACGGTGAAACCCCGTCTCTACTAAAGAATACAAAAAACTAGCCGGGCGAGGTGGCGGGCGCCTGTAGTCCCAGCTACTCGGGAGGCTGAGGCAGGAGAATGGCGTAAACCCAGGAGGCGGAGCTTGCTGTGAGCTGAGATCCGGCCACTGCACTCCAGCCTAGGCGACAGAGCGAGACTCCGTCTCAAAAAAAAAAAAAAAAAAAATAAAAAAAAAAATGAGCTGGGTGTGGTGGAACATGCCAGCTACTTGCGCATCCCAGCTACTTGGGAGGCTGAGGCAGGAGAATCCCTTGAACCTGGGAGGCGGAGGTTGTAGTGAGCCGAGATCGTGCCTCACTCCAGCCTGGGTGACAGAATGAGACTCCACCTCAAAGAAAAAAAAAGAAACAGGGTTATTAATTTGCTGCCAGTAACCACACCACATCAATTTTCCTCTCGAGAGACACAGGTATTCATATTTAGAGCTCCTGATGAGGGCCTGTCAGCATTGCCTGAGACTTAGCAGACACTGTCAATAATGTAAAGGATTCACCTAAGAGAACTTCACGATGTCAATAAAAATATCAAAATTGCATCAATAAAATCCATCATTTAGCCAGGTGCGGTGGCTCACACCTGTAATCCCAGCACTTTCAGAGGCTGAGGCGGGCAGATCACCTGAGGTTAGGAGTTCAAGACCAGCCTGGCCAACACGGTGAAACCCTGTCTCTACTAAAAATACAAAATTCAGCTAGGCGTAGTGGTGCATGCCTGTAATCCCAGTTACTCAGGAGGCTGAGGCAGGAGAATCACTCAAACCCAGGAGGCGTAGGTTGCAGTGAGCCGAGATTGTCCCACTACACTCCAGTCTGGGCAACAGAGCAAGACTCCATCGCAAAAAAAAAAAAATCATCATTCAACAAAGCTAAAGTTGTCTAAAAATAGTTTCAAAAATGTCCTTTCCATAACACAATACACGGCCATTTACCTATTTTGATGCGAATACCACTGACACTTGATTTTCTGCGATTAGCATAGGACAGCAAGATGTTCTGTGGTTTGAGATCTCTGTGGATGATTCCTTTGCTGTGCAGGATTCGCATGGCAGCAGCAATCTGATGCAGAAACACTCTGATGGTGTCTTCACTGAGAGTTCCTTTTGCTGGTACAAAAGGAGTCACGTAAATATTTAAGCACAAAAAATCAAATACTATCTGCATATTCCATCAACAGGATTGGGTTGTGAAGGACAGCATGAAGGGAATAAGGAATTTGGATTCACATTTATTCATTTTTAACTTTAATAATTGACGTTTATGAAGAGATACAAGATTTCTCAAAACTTGTAGTCAACCTGTTGTAAAGAGAACTGATGGGCACTTTCATCTTGTTTCACCTGTGTGTTTTGCTTTTCCCTTCATGTTTTTACTGCTGATGGTGCCCACATGACTCTGAACACCATAGGTACTCAATAAATACGAATGTCCTTTACAAGCCAAAAGCTAAGTTCCCCTTCATATTAGTCAAATATCTAGAATAAGTGTCCACATTTAATTCCAACCATTATGTGAGCACAAGTTACAAACAAGCAAAATCTTTGACCAGAGGGACCTGGATACTACTGCTACCTGTACCTGTGAGGCATCTGTGTTACTGCATCTACTCTGTCCTTTTATCTCCCATATCCCCCATTCCACTAGAATATCTTTCATAACTAAAGATACCTAAGAATAAATGTTTTAACCTATTTCACCACTATAAAGAGGTGATATGAACATTATTTGAAAGTACTGAGTCATTATTCAGTAAATTTTTTTTTTTTTGAGACAGAGTTTCACTCTGCCCCCAGGCTGGAGTGCAGTGGCACAATCTCGGCTTACTGCAAGCTCCGCCTCCTGGGTTCAAGAGATTCTCCTGCTTCAGCCTCCCGAGTAGCTGGGACTACAGGCATGTTTCACCATGTCCAACTAATTTTCCTATTTTTGTAGAGACAGGGTTTTGCCATGTTGGCCAGGCTGGTCTTGAACTCCTGACCTAAGTGATCCATTCGCCTCGGCCACCCACAGTGCTGGGATTACAGTGAGAAACATTGTGACGAGCCTATTCAGTAAATTCTACAGTATTTCTGTATATGCCTGAGCATGTTGTGGTTAACAGCTTGATTTGGAGTCTGGCTGCCTTTGTTCAACTCCTAGGTCTTCCACTGAATGTGTTACCCTAAAAGCCGATCCCTCTGTGCCCACCTTCCTCATGTATAAAAGTTGATGAGACTACATGAGGTTGACATGATTAAATAAAACCCATTTAATAATGAAAACTTCTGCTCATTTCAGCAGCACATATAATAAAACTGGTACAGAGAAGATAGCAAAAAAAGTTTACATTAAAAAGAAGCCAGGCGCGGTGGCTCACGCCTGTAATCCCAGCACTTTGGGAGGCCGAGGCAGGCGGATCACAAGGTCAGGAGATTGAGACCACCCCGGCTAACGCGGTGAAAGCCCGTCTCTACTAAAAATACAAAAATATTAGCCGGGCTTGGTGGCAGGCGCCTGTAGTCCCAGCTTCTCGGGAGGCTGAGGCAGGAGAAGGGCGTCAACCCGGGAGGCGGAGCTTGCAGCGAGCTGAGATCGCGCCTCTGCACTCCAGCCTGGGTGACAGAGCAAGACTCCATCTCAAAAAAAAAAAGAAAAGAAAAGAAAAAAATTATGAAAATGTGAGCACCAGGAATTCCAAAACTTACTAACATGAATTAATCAAAGAGTCATGGAAAAGAGATGGGGAAAAAAAAAAAATCAAGAAACAGTTTTGGAAAATAATCCAGAACTAGAGTACAGAAATCTTCAGATTGAAAGGGTTCTCTGAATGCCCAACACTGTGAATGAAAACATGCTAACATACATTGTGAAATATCGGAACCCTGAGGAACACAGAGATGACTATGAAAGCTGTCAGAGGATAAAAATGAAAACATCAAGGCAGTTGTTCACTCCAGGGAAAGAAAACTTGCCCAGGAAAGAAAGGTAACCATTGTATACTGCATGGATTCGCAGTAAA